CCAGTGCTGGACAGGAGCTGAAGGCAGGAGACACAGCTGGATCACAGTGCCCTGCGTGGCTTAGAGGACAGAGCAGCCCACCCCAATTCCTCTTTCCCCTGCACTGTTACTAACCTGGCTCAAGTTTCTCTCTGGCCCCTGAGCAGGCCCAGCAGGGCAGGAGGAGATCAGAGGCTCTGCTGGAAGCACATCCACAGGCATCCTCCATTTGTTTGATGCAACTCAATGCTTTGCAACTTGTGGTGCTGACTTTGGGTTGGCATAAGCGCTTGTGTGACCAAGCGAGGAATCAGATCAGAGAACTGATGCGGATGCAAATAACTTGGCAGGAGAAATAGAAGTGTTTTTTCACTGGAATCAAGTCCCTGGTGTGGTTTAGTATGTGGCGTACACAGATGTGCCTGCATAGTGCATTAGGAGAGCAACCCCCAGTTAGGGCTGCTGGTAGTATAACTTGGTTTCAGCTGTGCTGCGGTCCAGTACCTAATCATTACCCCAAGATCATGTTTGCTAAATACTAAATAACATTTTGTTGTCATTTATGTTTAGATACCTCTAGAAGGTCACAGTGGCCAAGTTCTGCCAGATGACAGAACTTGCACTAGGCAAATAAGACACTTAGGCAACACATACCATGTGCATGCCAGAATGTTCATCTTAAGTACTATGGGGAAAAGTGTGTAGCGGGGTGGAGTTTTATGCTAAGTTAGTGGCAAAACGGCGTACTTTTTAGCTACATGTTAATAGAGCTCAATTATATTATTTTTGCCTTGGATGCAGCAGCACCTCTTAAGCATCAAGAACTAACTTTTCATTACACTAAGAGAGAGCAGTTGTAACACTCTGATAAAGCACAGAGAATTATTTTTTACTAACCTGCAAAGTAATTATTCCTGTGGGTCTTCACCACAGGACATACATGATTGCTTAATACTTATTGCACACTTCTAATTATTAGACTGAGACCAAACAAATCCTCCCAGTCCCCTGATTTTTGGTTCATTTCTGTAAGCTTATATAGAAAGGAAGGCATTTCTTTAAAACTCTGCATTACAGCAAGTAATAGTGCAACTAATTACAAGTAAGTCTGTTAAGGATGGACAACAAACAGCTGGGCAGCAATTCACAGAAGGAAGGGGGACAAACTTATAACTACATCCAACACTTTCATCAACTGGATTTATTATATAATGTATCATAGCTAGAATATAATGTATATTCAAAGTGAAGAAAATATAATCACAGAAGCCGCAGCTTACAGAGAGCAATTTCTAAATTTTATATAACAGCCACCCAGAAGTTCTGGGCAAAGGAAGAAAGCAGATTTGCAGGATAAAGGGATAGCATGGCAAGGCCAGGGTAACTTCTATTAAAGTGGCATAGTTTGTCATATCTGACAACCCACTGAAGAAAGTTATCACTAGTTAAGGGCCTGACCCTGCATTCCTTAAGTAGACAAAAATCCCTTTGAAGTCAATGAAGCATCTTGCTCAGATAACTCTATCAGGATTTAGCAATTAATGAAAACTTTTAATTTCTTAAGTAGATTATAAAAGGTTTTCTTTGAGAAGCAACTATTACATGTTACTCACAGAAACTCCTCAGCAGTACGTGTTTGTTTCCAACAGCTCTTGCAGCACAGTAACGTTTGTTACTAACTAGGAATTACCAAAAGTCAGAACCACATTGTTTTCTGTTTGCATTGATCTGCCTTAAGTGTTCTTCTCTAGCTGATGTCTAGCTGAAGGTTTTGACAGCTTTGCATTCAAAAGGTCAGTAAGCAGTCCTCAGGGCAATTTGATTTAAACCTTTAGCATTTTGCATACTCTCAAGCAGCAGTGCATAGTAGGACACGTGTGTTCCCAGCCTCCAAAAGGTCATACTTCCCAGCCCTCAAAACAAAACCTGCATGAGAAATATTTCAGCTTGTAGAAAATATCAGAAAAGCTATCAGACAATTATGAAAACATTTTCTATTAAATTAAACTCAAAAGGCTTAAGAAAAACAAATTGTGACGTATGCTTTTAGACTATGGTGTATTTAAACAGGAAGTTTTACTTCTGTCGCATTTAGGAAGGTTGCCTTATCTGTCTTTCCTCAAGAGGCACGCTTACTTAATGTCTGTTCAGGTTTTCCAAGCTGCTTTGCCTCCCTGCCCTCCCCAAAATCCCAAGCCTCTCTCTGGGATGAAAACCTGAAACCTATAATGCAGAATTTGTTTGAAGTCTCATTAAGCAAAAAACCTCAAATTAAGGGCAGCTCAGGAAAACAAAACATTTTTCTACAGAGTCACGTGGATGTAAACCAAGCATTACATGGAAGTTCTCCCTCATTATCCCCTTTGTGAGCTGCTTGTATTCTGATTAGTGTGCTAACGATATATGTTCCACATAGAAAAAGCAATTAAGTCTCCACTTCAAAGAAAAATGATTTAGTATAGGAGTATCAAGGCTTGTGCTTGCATCTTCTACTCATTTCATAATGCTGCAGAGCAATACAGCAGCTGTTAAATCCTTAATTCCCATTTATAACAATAGAAGATGCTATGTGGCGGTTGCCTTTTTAACACACAGACATTTCCATGAGGTATTTCTATGGCACCAGAGATAGGGATTCTTATTGGTGATGGTGGCCTACCTGTAGATAAATAAGCGAGCTCCTCTCTGTTCACATTGTAAGAACTGCACGCTGATTCCTTAAAGAAATTGTTCATTAAAAAGGGTAGATACTAAAATAAACTGCCTGAAAAAAAAGCAGAATATGATTTGCTATGATCCTGTGTGAAGAACACAAGCCCCACAACATACTGTGCTATGGATTTAGAGAACAAATCAAATGCCAAAGCACTAGGTAGCTTGCAAAGTAAGTTTCTTTATGAAACAATGAGGTTAGAAAGGAAAAGTAGGATAGAGAAGGAAAATAAGTAGCTTACGCTCACATACATATATTTTGCCTAGGTTTGATGCCAGCAGACAGCCCTGTTTCTAGTAAAAAATAATTTGTTTAATATGCTACAGATGTGACTTGATTAATAGTAATTAAAAATAATTTAAGTCATGTGTCCTGTGAGCAGCATGAGTGAAGCCCCAGTGGCACTTACAAGAAATTGTTTTGCTTTCCCACTAACCCACAGCTCTGCCTCATGGTGCGATGAGAACAATGAAGCATCACCTGTACCCTCTTGAGAAGTGGCAGATTTGACACCAATAACACCCAACCCGAGAATCTGCCAGTGGTGAGAACTGCATTTAGAGGAAAATCCAGTGCCGCAGACCTCCACGGTACTGATGAATGCTGCTTGTTCCTACCTATAGCCTCATTTCTGTGACACCAGACTGCACAGCGCTTCCTCATCCACGGTAACCTTTGGAGTGAAGGAGAAATTTTAGAGAAAGGCAATTTCAGACCAAAACCCCTTAAGCCAATACAAACCGAATTACTGACATTGACTGAAAATCTAAGAAAACCTCACCCACAGCAGTCTAAGGAGACCTCTGAACTACATTTAAACTGAAAGCCTTGGCTGAGGTTACTCCATATACTTTATAAGGCTAAACAGACTCACTTCTTTGACAGCACTGTAGTTATTTAGGATCAGAAACACCACTCCCTATCTAACGGCCATAACACAAATGAACGTCCCCACCAGTCCTCATGAAACACGAAACATGGAAGCCAAGCCCCCGAGAAGTTCCGCGGAGGTTTTACACCATCCTCCGCTGATGTAACCCGGCTCGTACCAAGCTTACCGTGTGCTCAGCCGCACGCCCCGCGGCCCGGCCTGGCCGAGGCTCCGGCCCAGGCCCGGTTTCTGTCAGCAGGCTGCAGCCGTTACCGGACCGCGCGCGGCGCCCGGCGCGGGCGGCGGCGCCACCTGGCGGCCTATGCCAGAGGTATGATGTGCAGAAAACACAAGTCCAAAGGGACACAGAACACCTCCCTGCTGGCCAAACCAGAGCCCCTGTTTAGCTGTTCACAACCCCCTCCAGAAGCCTTGCAGATTGTATCTCCCTTCCCGCAGACGTGAGGGAGTTTAGTCTGACGTAAGAGCAAGGGTTCGCGATGTTGACTTTCTTGAGGTGCTTCAAAGCCCACTCTGCCACCCCCTCATGACAAACAGGTGGCCTAGGACAAGTCCTGCCCTGACCCAGACCCACAAAGCTCCGTACCAGCCTGTCACCCCTTCCACAGACCTCGCTGCAGCACAGTGGCTCCAGCCATATCCCTTGCTCCTCCTGGTCTTTCCCTGGCTGCCTCGGAGTGTGAGCAGGCACAAGAGGTGGGCCCCCTTGAGGCTGCGGCATCCTCCATCAGGGCTGCCTGGCTCCCCTCACCCTGCCTCAGTACTTCGCATAATTGACCTCTCTTCTCTAACTTAACCGCCAGCTGTTATCACCATTCCTCAACAAACTTAGTTTAAAGCCCACAGGGGGGAGCATCTGCACTCTGTCACCCACCACTTCTTGGTGTGAACTCTTAGTTCAGGCCCATCTGGTGCTGGTGCAGGTCTACCGAGGAGCACTAAACAAGTCTTGCTATTTCAAGACTGCCGATCTGCAGTTCAAAGAACTGAAACACAACTTACTAGAATAAACTTTTATTTACTGCTCTCAGGATCCTTTTCCATACTTTAAGCAATAAAACCTGCTACATTCAAATCTATACAGATTTACTGATATTTCATTCACGTTTTACAAAACCGGATATAGATTTGGGAAATTTTTATAAGTTACCTTTATTTACATGTCATATTCTCAGCCCTAATAACCTAGACAAAGAATAAAACAAAGTGGGATTTTAAATATCCCTTAAGACCCATTACATTTGTTACATAATTTACATATCTGTATAGAGAGATGTGCTACACTTCCTTCTTGCATATTTATAAAGACTAAACAGATTTCCTGGCCAAAGCTAGGTGCTGTCATTTCTACAGATCATATTGGTAATAAAATGTTAAAATCAGAGCAAGCCAGGTATATAAATCAGAGCAAGCCAGGTATATAAATCTGTTTTTTCTTTCAGAACCAATTTTGCTAATCATTTTACCCAGCACTTGCTCAAAAAAAGTGTTAATACAAAAAACATCCACATTTACAAAAGAAATCAACCTAGTATTTCTATGACAAGTTGATCTACAATCAATTGCACATTGTTGGCTATGACTTTGGTTATACGGTATTACCAAATTTGGTTTCTAGACTAACAGTGGAGGAAAAAAAATATAAAAATGCAGCTGTAGAAACTAGCACAACCTGTAAACATATTACAGAACCAAATTCTGCACCTGATCACATGTGCATAACCTCCATGCAGTTCAGAGAAGCGTGCACACATCAGACTGCTGAATTTGGCCCAGAAACCCCTGTAAACATGTTCTTTATTGTTATGTAGTGCAATACTGCAAGAATGGATAATAAAGGCCTCTATCACTAACTAATACTGAGTGATATCCATACAAATTTCACTTTAAGATTACTTTGTTGCAAAAGGCTGAATTGAAAATATTATCCATCACTGAACTACAAATTTATCAAAAGTGATGAACACAATAAACCAATGACAGTATACAAATTCAAATATAGTATATGATCACTCATTACAACACAATTATGCTGCTTGTCTGTTTCATATAAAAATCCTGGATTTGTTACACTGTTTTAACAAAAGCAAGTTAGAAATAGAACTCTAACAAATACAATGTGTCAGCAAGTCAATGCTCTGCAAACTGATGGCTGATAATGCAAACAAATGCTTTCCTTTTACTAATAGGCTTTGGACAGATGGGTAGCAAACAGCTTGAAGCAGCACAGATTATGATATTGCATTACATGAAGTTTGTTGGTTTTGGTTTTTTGTTGGTTTGGTTTTTAAAACAGTTTAACAATTTCAGTTGTTCCTCTTAAAGCAGCAATACAAATTTACACCCTCCGCAAAGACTTCTTCACAGTTTTACTTCAGTAGTTTACTGCCGGACAGTCTGTCAAATACTGTAGAAGAGGCAACTGCTTAAAAACATTTTAGGTGTTGACTTACTTGGCACTGGCCCATCCAACGCGTATACTGTAGTCATTAGCAAGGTACACAAAACCGTGGAAATGGCAAAATACATTTTCAAAAGTTAGTGAATTTTGCATACTTACAAGTAATACTATGAAGATTCAATAGCCATGTGACTAAATACAATGGTAGTCCCTGGAGAACTCAAATTTGTCTGTAAACCCTTAAAATTAAATTGCAGCACTGGACCAATACAATTTATGTCTGTCTTAATCAACCCCATCAAAACCCTGAGTATTTTCAATCGCCAGAAGAAGTTTATCCCGTAAATCTTCAAACGAGTCATATGGAGGCAAATCCAAGCGATTAAAGCTGAAAAACAGATGAAAACTCTTAAGTATTTCATCACTCTCACAAAAGGTCGTAATCTACCTAAATTAAATACTCACCAGGTATGAGCTCTTGGCAGTTTTTCAGGGGTGCCCCACTGTTCAACTGTAAACAACTGTGGTCCATTTGAACCTGCAGAAAAGAAGACATCATTTTTCACCCCATTATGAGATTCTTTTCTAATCAGAAATGCAAGTTATGAAATGTTTGGGGGTTTCTGTAATGCAATTCTGATGTTAGTCAGAATTATTTTTTGCTATATCTTAATTTCAAGAGACTTCTACCCTTTAAGCTCAGACATTTAAGACCTAGATGCATATGCATAGTAGCTGGCATTGAAAATTTTGCACAGAAGACAGTTTTATAATGTATACATTTTGCAAGTGAAAATTTAGACATGTTAAATCACAGTGTGCCAAGTTACAGAACCTGGCAGAAAGTATTCAATGCCCACCTTCACAACAACAGAGTAGAGTAACTAAGAACTTTTTGAAACACAGCGACCACACGTGTACTTCAGGATGTACTCATGCACCTGAGAGAAGTTTCTTGGCTAGCATGTGCAGCCCCACCTATGCCCATGCCTTCCACAACTCTTACAGAATGGCGTATCTGAAAGTTTCTTGAACCTCTTAGCTCTCACCAAGTGGATGCCAAGGGCATTTTGTAACTATTTCCTGAAATAGGAAATGCTGAAAGCATTTATCTATGTCTGGAGGAGACTGTGCAGCTTAACTAAAAAAAAAACAAACCCAAAAGACAAATAAACCACTATCTTGTCAGAGAACAGGAGATGATCCCTGAGGGTAGATGTTTTCTGACATTTCTACAAGGAGACCATCAATACAGTTAAGAGAACTGTACTCCAAGGTAGATGGCTACCCAAGTATGAGTAGCCTTTTACTTCTGAAATGGAAGATGTAAAACATGTTTCAGACTGAGATGAGCAGCAGTAATGAGAACAAGCTGATCTATGAATGCAGCTGAGGTATAAATGGTATGTAGAGTACTTTTAGACCTATGAAATTAATGTGATTTTACAGTGCAAGCAAACACTTTCCCTGTTTTTTATGACTCCTCCAAAATTTGTTTGGTTGGATGTTAGAGTTTTTTTCCAACTACACAAGTTATAATTGTCAATAAGATTTCATTTGTTCTATGAAGACATGGAAAAAAATGTAAATGTATTCATAATTAAATTAGAACATGTAATAATGCACATTTTAGAAGTGGATTTGGAAGATGCTAGCCAACTTATATAAAGCAAAAAAAAAACCACCAAACAATAAAAGCCCCAAGACAAGGCATCCCAAACATGAAAATAAAACAAGAGGAGGAGAAAACCCTTCCCCAACTACTAACATACATGAAAAGGTAGGAAATACCAATCAATGCACAGAAACTATACTTCATACAAGTCTAGTGAATGAACTAGATATGTCAGCGGTTGTGGGAACACTTCCAGCTCCTCTTCTTTACTTTCTTTTTTTGGGTTACATGCTTTTTCAACAGAGAAGGCTGGTTAGAAAAGGTAACTAGTGAGAATGCCTGAGATAAGGATGAAGCAGAGAAGCAGTTCTATGACTGACGGTTCATCCTACCATGTGACAAGAAGATAAACCTCACTTTTATTACCTAGCAATAGGTAATAACTCTGCATTTTAGCTATCCAACTAATTAACTAGAGGCTGACAAAGCAGACTGGGAGGAAGACAAGAAATAAGAAAGCCACATCTGTTCAGTGTCCTAGTCCTCAAAACTTCGGCGGATTTGCTTCTGGATCAGCAGCATTCCTTTTATGAGCAGAAATGCTTCTCTGCGCCACAAGAGGGGGCTATCCGGCTAGAAAGTCAGCTCTAGGGCCGCAGCCCGAAGGTGGAGAGGGAACAACCGCAGGCGCAGCCTGGCTGCAGCAAAAAGCCACGTACGAACACGAAGCACTGAAGAACCAACTACAGTTCCTCAAATACAAGCAGGTACTGGAAATGTGATTGATTGTGATCATTACTGGGGTTTAGTCAGGGTGGCATGCTGGCCACACAAAGCGAAAGTAACTGTAAGACAAAGAAACAAAGCACTGTGCAAGACAACAGCTAACTGAATTTGTCATTAACGAGTGAGCACAACTACAGGAACTGGGATTTCACTAGAAGGATATGCTAATCCCTGGGCAGACAGGAGCTAAGAGCTTCAACAGTTTTTCCCCTGTGTCATTCCTTAGTTATATCTCTGGAAGTGTTTTTAGACAAACAAAAAGAGGCAGCAGAATTCCCATTGGGTTCCACTGCGATGAGCCATGTGCTGTAACACCAACAGTACCAAGGTTCAGGTGCAACAGCAGACACATGGCTCAAGTCTGCCAAGGGCACTGTCCTTTCCATTGCAACTCTCAACTCACCAACAGAATGGAAAACAAACTGAGTATTTATGATGAAAACAGAGAAGGAGAAATGGGGATACATGGTGGGTGGTAGTTGTTCACAGTTCTAGTAGTTTACAGACAAATTACTGTCTTGTTTACACAGAAGGAAATGTTTATTCAAATATGCAAGTTAGGCTATTCAGCTATTTGCATAGGATCTCAAGCACTTTTAGGCTTCATAAAGCAGTCTAGCAGAAAACATAATAGTTGATCGCAGCTGAAAAGACTTCCCATAAGCAAAACACCCCTACCCTTTGTGGGCTGTTACATCTGCTTGCCTGCGGTCTTTCCACAGTGGGTTTTCTGACTTTGGTATTGAAGTCTGCTCCTCACTGCCATGTGCTTGTTTCAGACTCTGCATTGTTGTTTCACTACTTTTCTTTTGGCATTACATTTAACTTCTGTTACTTCAGTGGTCCTCTCTACAGTCTATCCTTACAGACAACTGTATTTGTACAACTGTAGCTTGTGAGCAGATAGAAGTAGTTGAGGAACTCAGGAGAATCTCAAGTTAACTATTGATGCCAGCATGTCTTTGTAATCTGAACCTAGATAACTGAGAATTTTCTTCAACTTCAATCACATGTTTAATAAAGATTTTTGCACCTCTTTATGACTTTAAGAATCCACATTCCTTCGAGTCCTATGCATTTAAAACCTTTCAAAACCATTACTATTTACAGAACATGGGAAATGTGTGATCTCGGTCACTCCAACTTTGCTTCTTCTGTCAGTATATAAGCCATTTTTAAAGCAAAATTTGAAAAATAATGTGCCTGTCTTTGAAATCAAACATCATGACAACATCAATATCAGGTTCTCTGTTACTTAATTGTGAACATAATCTAAGTACTCACCATACAGTTCAGCAAACCCATTCATAGGTACGCGTGATGTGCCAGTAACAAACTGAAGTAATCTTATTCTCTTTTCAGAGTCCATCATTAAGACTGCCTATGTATGATAACAGTTAGAATTAAAGATTTATTTTTAAATTAAGCTTTAAAGCTAGCAGAGTTACGCAACACAGGTTCTATTTCTAAATCATTATCCTTTATATAGACGCATTTTTTTAGTGACACACATAGATCACCTCTCTGCCTATTACTAAAAGCTATGAAGTCAACAATTTTTTAATGGCACTGTAACAAGAGTACAGTTACTAGCTTAGCAGGCTGTTAAAATACTTCCCTTGAAGATTTGGCCCCTACTTGCTTTGAAGTTCCCTGATGTTATGAACTAGCAGCCAAATTCTGGTAATTTATTAAACAGAAGAGTTTAACACCTCTTCAGCGTAACCATGCCAGAAAGACCTACACAGAAATATTTTTAACCCCCATCAGACATGGATTATTTCTTTTATTTTTTTTTTTTTTTAAAGTAAGCATCAGTAGTGTATTTACATTCTTAGCATGCATCTCATCTCTAGTTTTCTTACTTTCTCAGGAGTTTTAATGGTCAAATATTTACCTACCTATTCATGAATCACACGATAAACTACAATAGTTGAAAGGCAGCAGCTTTTGATCAGGTTTTAAGTTAATAAAAATAAAAGAAAATAAGAACTTCATGATACCTTCCAGAACCATTGTATTACTTGATGGTTTATGTTGTAGCCATTTTTGTATTTTGTATGTAGTTTCCAATCAGCCACATCCACATCTCCCAGTCCACACATTAATAACTACACAGATAGATAAAAAACAAAAACAAACACCACCAAAGTTGAAGTCAGTAACATTAAGTTTGAACATAATTTGTTTTCTTTTCTGTGATACACTTACCTCTAGCTCATTTTCATCAAAGATTTTAATCAGATCCTGTGGTATTAGTTCAAAAAAGCCCTAAAGAGATGAGGGAAGTTCTTAAAAATCAAGTCAACATTATTTAAGCATTTTTTGTTCAGTTAAAATGATCTTTAGATGCTTTAGTAAACACAGCCAAAGCAATACAGCAAACACAGATTTTGGACACCAGCAGTCTCTAGTTGGGTCATGCTACTTTAATTCTGATTTATCTCACATCTTTATTGTGAATACCATGTAAGTCTGAATAACATATATGTAATATCATGTAAGCAAGTAAGGATCAAGCAGATAGTTTAAACCAAACTAACAGAATTAATTTTCTTCTCTGCAGAATTCATTACACAGTTTGCACTACAGCTAAAGGTGTTAGCCAGGATTGAGAAATAAGCAAATTTTTCAATATGAATTAAACACCTCAATAAAAATGCACCAAAAAGATTTTCAAGTGTGAAATAATTCAAAGCTGACTACAAACAGTATTACTGACTTTTGTTCTACTTTTAGCAACATTATCTGTGGGTCTTCAGGATGTCCAAAAAAGTTTGCCTTAAAATTAAACAGAACAAATTCTTAGAATTTATTTTGTAATTAAAACTATACCTCTTTAAAGGCTGACATTTGTTTCTGTACTCTGCTCACAAATCTCCACTGAATTACAAGACTGTAAAAACAAAACAATAACCCACATTTAAAATAAAAGCAATTTATATACAAAGCACCTTCTTTGTTATTACAACTAAGACAGCCCCTGTTACTAGAGGGGCAATTCAGTGAGATACATTGCACATAGTGACCACTACTTACTGAATGTAGTCTCTCTTGTTCTTGTTGGTGACAACTATTTCTGACCCACCACTTTTCAGTTCATGTTGATGAGTCTAAATGCAATATACAGAATAGGCCTTAAAATGAGATAAATACGTAAGACAATTCAAGTGCTAATATTAGGTGATTTAGTTAACTCCTGAAGACTGCAGAATTTGAAAACCATGAGAAATAGAACCAGTTTCAAGGTCACAAAAATAAACAGAATTTGGTTGACTGCTTTAAAAAATACATTTATTATTGAGGGATATCACACTCCAAGGGGGCAACCTCAATTCTTTCTGACGTGTCACAACAGATCACCTGTTATCACCATGCATACATGTTCTCAGTAATGCAGGCTTCGCTAACTGCATATGCAATGACCCAGCCTTTTTTAAGGCATTTCAAGGAAAAACCCTTACAGAACAATTTCAGTAATGGTCTCAGTAAATAGGTGAATGACTATGCATACCTGTTACACAGAAATTTGTACTACTAGAACCTCAATAGACAGATACCTGATTTTCAGTTCATTACAGATGTACATTTTCACGTTCTTACTTAGGATCACTTTAGTTACAGAAGACCACAAAGGCTATTATCCTACTTAGATCTACTTGGCACCTCTAATTTGGAATTTGTATTCAAGACCTGTGATGTTTCTACATGACTCATCTTGGACAGCTTTCTACTTAACAACAGATTTGTTTATTCCATAGCTCTCTAGTGCCTCTTAGAGAAAAAAAAAAACAAACCCTATATTATCTCCCAATGAAAATTATGATTCCAACCATTTCCGAAAGAGCTCATCCTTTCCAGCCAATCACATAAACCCAACCTCTACTCCAGATCAAGTAATGGGACTATGGATAACTTAATCTCAGTTGCACTCACAGCAACAGCTACAATTCAAGTACTATTTAAGAAAAGAATCCCATGAGTTATTTTTTAAAGTTTTGCTTATTTCCAAGTCCTTTGTCACATCCCAGCCAGGCTAACAGAGCACTGCCTAAACATGTGCCAGCTAAAAGATGCAGCTGATTGAACAAACCAACATGACTGTGAATGAAGGGGTTTTAATACCATACAGATAAAATCAGTTAAATTCATAGGCCAAATGGTTTTCTTTCATGTTTTGTCTGTTCTACATTATGTAAACATACAAACCTGACCAAAAAGTTCCTCATCAACTACATATCTGAGGTCCAGTTCTGTTGGATCATTTTCAAGAATCCATCTCAGAGAATTGTAATATTCACTGTCCTAAAAGAGAGAATTACAAGGTAATAAATACAAAATAGAGTAGCCACCTTTGATGCTACAGAAGGCTCCATTACAGCCCAGTGAATGCTGCTACCTAGGCTAACCCCTTGTTGGTTACAGAGCCTCTGCAATTGTACAGATGTCTACAATCTCAGGACTAAAAATCTCTCACGTAGCACAATAGTGATAAGATTTCCTGTGAAAATATTACATTCTATCACTCATTAGTATTTTCAGTCTCTGAAAGTATAATACATTTATTGTTAATAATCAAAAGAGACAAACTAATTTAAAATCAAGTTGAGACAGGGATCCCAAAGATGTTTATAGCTCATTTTCAAAACCTTAGAGTTTAAAAATATCTAAAAAAACACCACAGGAATTTCTGAGTAAATTTTTCAATATAGCTTAACTGACTTAAACCAGAGTCCAAGTCTCTGATTTTCAGTGGAATTTTTAATTCCTATACAACTTAAGACTTACGAAAGATGTAGCCTAAAATATCTTCAAATCACGCTCATTCACAATGTCATTCAAAACATATATACAATAAAGATCATGAAACCCTAACTTAAATGGGAAGTTCAGACTGGATATAAGGAGGAAACTCTTTACTGTGAGGGTAGTGAGGCACTGGAATGGGTTGCCAAGGAAGTTGTGAATGCTCCATCCCTGGTGGTGTTCAAGGCCAGGTTGGGTGACATGGTTTAGTGGGAGGTGTCCCTGCCCATGGCAGGGGGGTTTGGACTACATGATCTTAAGGTCCTTTCCAGCCCTAATTCTATGATTCCACAATTCTATGAAAATACATGATAAAGCAAATTACATACCACAGACTCCATATCATGAAGTGTTATTGGCTTTTGGAGCATCATCTTGTAGAAAGGACGAATAAAAAAGGCTTTAAAGAAGAACAAATAAATTTAATAGTACATAACTTAAAATTCAAAATATCCACAATATTAATCTAAATAGCACATTAAATAAAATACATACTAACCATCCAAAAGTTTGCCATGGTAGACAGCCATTCCAGCTACACGACCTATAAACTTGAAATAAGAGAGATGATCTTCATTGCAAAGTCCAGAGTTTGGATTGATCTGCAGAGTATAGTTATCTCTGAAGTTGAGGGAGGAAGCAAGGAAGAAAAAGAAAAACAAATTTTGTGCTATTGGAACTGTCCCAGATTTGAAGATCCAAAAGACATCACTAGTTAAATCAGATATTACTTTTCATGACATTGAAAACTAATCATATTTGGATTAATAAATTGCTAATCTAATACTAAACAATATTCACTGGCATAGCAGAAATAATAGTTTTGAAACACTATGAACTACCTTCCTAAGTTAGAAATCTACCAAAGAAAAAAGATTTAATGGCTATTGTTTTTACAGTAGTCAGAATAACATTCTCCACATTATTTGTTAAATAATGCTTCCTCTGTAAGTAGTAGATGGTTGCAAGCGGATGCCTGTCTCTGCAAAGATGACACAGCTTATGTTAGATTGCTGAAACAAACAAAAATACTGGTACTGTCTTTGCATTATTCTTCTGTCAAACAAAGAACTAGATGCAGAATACTGCTGTTAACTAAACTCTTCTATACAGCTGGGGATGGGGGAGGATTAGCTCAATTCTTAAAGTAGATATGAGAAATACAGTTGATCTACTTTCCCTAACTAAACTAGTTTTCATGTCTTCCAGACCTGTATTACTTACGTTGCTGAATATTCAAACAATCCATAATAAGGATTAAACATTTCTTTAGAGAGAAGGAAGAACCATTCCCTGGCCACTCCTCCATAGTCTAAACCTTTTTCACCATCAAATTCAATCCAAAGTCTTGCTTTAAGAAAATCTGCTCTCTTTACAGCTATAATTCTTCTATAGGAATCTTCAAGGATTGTTGTGCGATGAATTTTCATTTCAAATCTGTTTGGAATATCACTCTAAAAAAAAAATAATGAAAAGATAGAATAAAATAATAAAATCCAGCATCTTCAAGTCTTACAGAGTGCACAAATTCTATAGACAAAGAATGACACACAAATCCTTTACTTAAATGATTTGTAAACATAACGCAGTATGATTGACACGAGGTTCTATTCACATAGAACTTGCATGGAGAGTTTCAGATACTAAACTCTATTTCATACCAAGAAAATAGGGTTAAAATAAATTCTTACTAGCATATGCTCAGTTGTTCTGCATGCACCAAGGCCTGGAATCTTTTTTTAACAATGAAAATTCATCATAATTTAAGCTCAATTTAAAAAAAAACAAACAAAAAAGAACACCAAAAAAAAAACAAACCCACTCAGAGTAAATCCCTAATAAACCAGGACTAAAACTCTGTTGAATCATTAAATTATTGTTTTCAGCCAGTTTATTTCAGCAATTGCTTCAGGCAAAATTGAGAAATTCAGTGAAAGTGGGGACAGGAAATTTCATCTCGTGTTTCTCTATGACTAGATGAGGATGATGCAATGAAACTCAATATATTTCAAATTTCAAAGAACACACCAAGTAGAAATACTGAATTTTTGAATGCAGAAGTATTTCATAAATCACTCGGAAGAGCACATGTTTGGATATGTTTCCTTTTTATTTTCTTATACTCCTTAAATAGTCTAGCTTAAATTACAAAAAACCCCACCTAGAATGCTGCAATTAAATGTAATGCCTATTTATATCCAACAGCAGCTTGATCCAAACTATAAGCAAAAAATAATTGCTTGGGGTGGGGGAGCACATTATTTGCCATTTTCCACATTACAAAATACTTTACACTACCATCTCCCTATTTAGATGGTGGTTGAAATCTATAGGTCTTTTTCACCATTTCAGAAAGCAGTAAACACCTCTAAATTAAAAAAAAAGTTAAAAACTCCTGCCTTTAGTTGCAAATGAAATTTTTAGGATTAAAACAAAAAAAGCTTAAGCAATAATAAAATCAATTCCTGAAACCAAACTTTGCTGATTAAAATAGTATTCAATAATTTAATCTCAATATAAATCAATCCCTAACCCTAAATTGTCATTTAGGTATTTGTGAATGTTTAAAAGGCAATAGTAACCTATGCTTTAAAATCTAGACATGTATTTAGTTCTTTAATGAGTACAATTACTTTGCGTGGCTAAGCTGTCTATCACTTCTCAGATTAGGATAATGACATTTGAATGAATGCCAGGCTTGTTTGACTTGGAACTCAAAAAGTGAGGTGCATATATAATTGCATGCAATTTACATGTCAGTTCAAAACACAGAGACAGGATAGAGACAGACTTGGTAGATAAAGGTGAACTAGGGGGTCTAAACTCAAAGGCTGTATTTATATATGTAAAATATCTCTCAAGGATACCAAATTTGACTGCAGTTCTGCAGAGACTCATTGTTATCCTAATATCCAGATGCTATTTAGAGTCTTTTATGCTATGTGTTATAAATATATCTGGCACTGCCACTTCAAACTAGAACTTGCAAATGAGATTCATAAACTTAAGATTTTAAAGCTATAAGAATTTACTGCAATCACTTAGCCTGATCAAGATGACAGTACCAATTTCAATCTGGACAGTCTAAAATCTATTCTGAGAACTTGTATTTCCGTATGCTGAGTTCCAAAAACTAGTATGCTAGATCAGCGATTTCCAAACTTTTCTGTTGCCAGCCTACTTCCAAGTTCACGAGTTATTTTAACCTTTTAGAATTTCTACTTTCTCAATTAGATTACTCAGTCTCAACACTGCATAAAGTCACCAATTCTGCTGTTAGATTAAACTCTAATCATTACCAAGTCACTGCTTCACAACTGTATTTGCGATCTGACAGTAAACTTAACAGCCATAAGCAGGTTACAAAATTCAATTTCTTTTCACTGTAACCTAAGCTTTCCTTTGTTTGGGGCTGTAAGTTTCTTAATCTTCTACTGGATTCCTACTGATTACTAACCTGTTTCTTCAATTTCTTTCTGAAGAACTCATACTTCCGCTTATAGTCCCTGGAGTAAGGCACAGCCTTTGGGGAGAAGAAAAGAAAAACAAAGAAAAAAACGTGCTTGAAATATTCTACCAATTCATGTAACAGAAACTAGTCTATATTTATGAAAAACAGACAAATGCATTTAAATTCTGAGAAAACAGGAATGTATTTTTTACTAAGCATAAATGGAGACTTCCAGTTTATAAATACAGACAGTTCAAAACATCTGGAACGAAAAGTACTTCTCTGTTCAGATCATTTGTTCTGATAGGATTTATCCTATACTTTACTGTTCCATAGGATTTATCCTGTACTTTACTATTAGCTGATGTGAATCAGATCACTGACTGACCCAGATCAAAGTGACCAAAATGCTTTTGGTGACTTACATAACGCATAGTCCTTCCCTGCTGTATCATGACAGACCTGGCTACAATCACCTCTATTTTCCATGGACAGAGAAGGTTGTTTACATATGCAGGCTATTAATAAACACAGATATCAGCTGAACACTAAAACCCATCTATAATTATAACGTGCACCGTCTTTGCAATTAGTCCTGGTAATTTTGCACTTCGGATTAAGTGTCAAGGCTAGATAATTATTTTTCAGTTGGAAATTAATTTAATTCCTTTTAAAGACTTTTTTTTTTTTTTTTTGACACTGTGGATAAAAAATAATATTTGTCTGCTTCAAGCCCCCAAACTTTCCAGCTACTGTGGAAACTGATTTTTCTTTCTGGCATTTTAAAAAACATTTCCACCAAAAGCTTTCTAAACAGTCCTGAAATCAAGAAATGAAAATGCCTTGCTTAAACACCCTGGAAGTTTCATCTTCTAGACTGAATATCTGATAAACGACGAGTTTGTTTGAATTCTATTAACAATATTCCTGAAAAATACATAAAGCTACATAACAAAAGCTTACTGGTCCAGTTATTGCCACATTCTGCAGTCGGGGATCCTCCCACTGTGTTTTCTTTGTATCTGCAAGACATTTCTGAATTAGTTCCACTAATTTAGCTAATGTTCAGATTTACGATGATGAGTGGGTGGAGAACACTACATTACACGTACTGTGGTTTATGAAGAATATTCTTCCATCTGTGTGAGTTCTTTCTTCCCACCCTGGCTGTAAGAAGGACACACTTTTATTACAAATTTCGGGCTGTATAGTTTTCATACAACTCAGCATGATCTGCAGTTGGAGGCATTCCTCCTTTCCATCTACCCTCAGCACTGGAGTTTAAAATACAGTATTTTTGGTATAAAAAAGCAGGCTGCATTTTCTCATGTGCAAGTTTCTATAGGGCTAACTGAAGTAGTTAAATTGTTGTATCTGCAAAAAAAGGTTAAAACTGTTTACTCACTGGTAATGGACCCAGGTCTACTGGATCTAGGGAAGTCTTTCTCCTCGGATGAGCAGAAATTTTCAGTCTTGGATCTTCCTTTGAAAACAAAACAAGCAGCATGTTACAATCCTTCTGTAGTTTTGCTTTTAATACTTTCATCTTTATTACTGATTGGGTAAAGAATATGCCAAGTACCATCTGGATAGTTGTTGCATATTCTATACAGCTACATAGGGAGAAGGTGTTTGTGTAAAATTTGGTCTTTCCATAATCCTGAAGAAATTAATATTAATTTTGAATCAATTTAATGCATTTCTCTGTTTCTCATTCACTGACAGTAATACAGACCTACTCTGTAAATGCTGAAGTCCATAAACACTCCCTAGTGGTGTGCAGTGCCACTCTGCGGAACTGTAGCTATACAACTCCCTCATCCATATTGTAGCTACACCTGGCCTGCTTTTCACAGGAATCTGCACTGTGCACTGAACCACGTGACAAATTCATGGTAATGAATTTCCTGTAGAAGGTAAGTTCACAAAACCGATTTCTGTTAACAGGACATATAAGCTATCATAATTTCATAGTTATGACAGAAGTGTCATGTAGGAGATGCTTTATGTCTGCAAAACAAATTCCTACACGCATCAGTATTTTCTTCCTTCCAACCTAAACTTTCAAGTACCCATACAGTTTGTAAAATTCATCATGTTCTACTCATGACAGATAATGTAAATGACTTTGCATTTTTATTTTACATATGTTCCTTAAGGGACGTGACACAGCTATCTTGGCACTAAAGAAATCTAGAGAAGCTTGCTGAAAGCAGCAAAGCTTTGGCTTGAACTGTAATTTCAGTCCACAAGAGCAGTTTTCCATTACCCATGTTGTAGTTTTGGTATTGTGGTCAATAAAGAATGGTCTCCCATTAGGTGCATGTCGAACTTCCCAGCCTTTAGGGAGAAATCCTTGCTCCATTTCAGGCTGCTGCTGGGAAGACTGTTGTGATGAATCACTTGATGTTGCTTGTGATTGTCTTCCCATAGAAATGCTTTGTGTAGCTGACAACTGACCTGTTTCCACAGCAGTCTATGGTAAATGATAAAAAAAAGTATCAAATCAAAGCCTTGTAGAACAATGTATTTTTTCTATTAACCTGTGTTTTGACTCATGAAAGAAGCTTCATAAAGCAAGTGCCAGACACTATACAGATTTCAGTCTAATATCAACAACATTGACTAGCAATCACTGCATATGGTTCAAAGGTTAAAAGAAGTCTTTACGGTTTCTCATCAGCTATCACCCTCCAGAAGGCTTTCATGTACATTGATAATAGAGTGACTTGCCATAAATATTACTGTTCCTAACTCTTGTTGCATTCTCTCACATATTTTATGTAGTGCGTTACCAGTTTATGCCTTTTTTCATTTCAAAGACTTCCCTAAACTTTACTTCTATTATGTGAAATGCTTAAATGGTTGAATGATTACAAATATTAATAAATCAGAAGACAGACAGTACCTGTACAACTGGTTTTACCCAGGTAGTGGTTCTAGAATTGTGATCTATATAATATGACCTCCCTTTTTCATCTTGTCGTTCTTCCCAGCCTGGGGGTAATCCAGATGAAGTAGGCAGTAACTAAATATTAACGATAACAGAAGAAAAACATTAAGAAAACTATGAAATTGACCAAAAAGGCTTTCCTCTACCCAATTAAAACAACAAAACAAGACCGTAACTCAGAAGGTTCATGATTTTCACAAACTAAATAAAATAGAAAAGCAGTTTTTAAGTCCTTACTGAACAGTATGAAGTAACAGGGTTTTTTATATTCAAGCTCCTCATCTAAAAGGAATCATATGTATACCTAGTTTAGGTATAAGCTGATCCCCTAATACTTCGGCTTAGTTTGCAGCATCACCATGAAAACATAATGTAAGAATGGTGGTACAGCTTTTAATTACAAAGCAAACAATTTGCAAAATAAAACTACTGTCGTCGTGGGAAGACTACTTCCTTCTGCATGCATTAAGCTAATGATAAATTAAAATCACAAAGTTGGAACATGAAAGCTTTATAACCGAACTCCAATCTTGCTAGACTCATAACTGCAATTTTGTTAGGACAGCTGCCAGAAGCAAAGGCCAAATCTCATTTAAAATATCAGCGCGTAAGAAACAGTTTTAAATTAAAAACTCCTCCAGCTTCTCTGCTACCCAAGCCTGTGTTTCTCTGGGGAAAATGACATACCACTGGATGTGCAGGCTGCTCTTCAACTCTGTATGTTTGCAGACTCCCTCTTCTGCTGGAATGGTTCTGAAGTAGTAAAGAGGAATGACACATTAGTTATTATTGCAACTTTAAGGACGGCAGCAAACGGTCAACAATGGTTACCACACTTTAAATATTACAGTTTTCATCTTGAACAAAGTGTCTTACTTGTTCTGAAACATCAATCAAATCTAGTATTTTGGAAACTCCTGTTTTCATACTCCTACAAATACTAAGTTCCACACTCTATTATAACCTTTAAACAGAAAATAGAGGCTTGTGAAAGTTCTGAAAACCCTAACAACAGATGTTTTCACATGTAAAATACTGGAGTTAATTATAAGCAGTTGCATTAAATTGAATTTACAGTATAGAACTTACTACATTACCCTGTCACAGTACACTAAAGCCTGTGATTGATCAGGGCTAATGTAACTTTTCAGAGATTAGATTAAGTCAATAATGACACGATTTGAGAGTCTGAGACATTCAGTTTGAGAAGAGTAACTTAATCCCTGGACTTTCTGTAAGCATCCACCTTTCAGCCTAGAATCATATTTAGATTTCATCTGCTACAATTAAGCAACGGTATTTCATCTTGCTCCAGAACTTCCCAGATGATTTGAAGGACTGTTACCTCTCCATGTACTCTTTTAAGAATATTTAAAAGAAAAAAGTATAATTAAGTTTTTTTAGCTTTTTCTTTGGGGTGATGAAGGTAAAAAGAGGCAAGATTGTCATTCTAGCTGGCTCGCGCAAATAATTTGAACATCTGCCTCTTTCCTTCGCTTAGGCCACCCAAGCAAGCTGAAATAAGAGTTTTCTTGTTATCCACAGGATTCTGAATAGCAGAGATCCAGTAAAGTCTTGTTACTTTCACTTTGCTGTTTCTAGCAACACTAATGATGCTTTTGTACCAACTTAGAAAACCAGTCAACTCCAAATTTCCATTTGAAATGGCATTCTCAGCATCACAAAAGCTAATGATTCTATTTAAATACCACAACCTTACAGACTGGATGGTCTGGGTCACCTCTATAGGCTTTCCTGAATGGACAGTGGATTTCTCAAGTCACGTATCAGGTTACCAGGCTGTTTGTAGAGCTCGGGTTTCACAAGACAGCTGAGCATATTTAATTGCTTGCTACCACCAAAAAGACATGCCTCACTCCTGGCTATGTACTCCTGCTGCTTCCCCTTTGCCACCATCTTATTTATCAGACAAAACAGCATGCTGTTTCAGCTTGCTAACTGCAAATAAAAACAGAGCTGAGAGGAAAAAAGAGAATAGTTTTCTGCTGGGCTGGCAAGCTGAACAGACTCACTGAGAGATCACACAAGTTTCCTGACTGGCACACGGCTGTGGAACTGCATGAGCAAGGTCCCATTTTCACTGCTACGGAGGTACCAGTTTTACTCAGACCAATCATAAACCTTTCTGCCAATATTCACAATGAAAAATAAACTTGTCCTAGTGGAAAAAGTAACTAATACAGCACAACTCCTTTAGAAATAAGCTTTTAGGATATAGCTTCCTTCATCTGTAGTTTTCAGCATTCAGTATGACAGTAGAAAGGGTAGATTTACAGACTGTAAAACAGTTCATGCAAGTCTGTTTCAATCTCAGGCAGAAATTCACATAAGTGAAGTAGGTAAGAATAAAATGTTTGCTTTTTAAACTGTTCCAGTTTAAAAAAAAATCTTAAATCCTCTGTATTTGAGATGAAATTAAGTATTTATGGATCTATCAGTAGTAACATTTTGAGCAAAATATTGTAGATATTTCTATCCATTAGAACAATGAGAAAAATAACTTACAGTATAGGTGGCTGACTGGCCAGTAGCTGAACTTCCAGAGGTAGTAAGTCTGGCATTCAATTCTTCTGCAAGATGAGTCTGTATGTCAGAATTACTCTGAGAGAGAGGTATTTGAAGGTTCTGATTGCTATACATTGTTGCCTCATCTTCAGTTATAATTTCCCAGCTCTTTAAAAAGAAAATAAAGAAAAAATAATTTTACAAAGTAGTTCCAAGTCACAAATAGTTAAGACCAGCTTTTTGATTAGATAAAAAAGTTAACTGCATTTCAGAAACATTCAGAGATTGTTTTCACCTCGGGGGAATCTCTGTTGTCGAGATTTTCTGTATCCTCTGATATCTGTCGACGATGAGTGAACACATGCTGGGCCTCCAACTGCACGCTACCAATGTCTGCAACAGCTACATTGTCCCTGTTGGAGGAAGGGAGGGAAGTCAGCACACAGTAGCCATGTTTTACCTTTCAACAGTAAGCTAGGCTAACAGCAAAAACACACAAAAGGAAAAGACACAGTGAGCTGTGAAAATTAATGCAAAGTGTTTAAAAAGAATAAGCACTCACGTCCACATGAAGCATAACTAAGAAACAGAGAGCAGTCCCGGAATTATTTTTGTAATTCACACACTAAGAAAAAGCACTACAATTAAAAAAAAAACCAAGGTAAATAATTTAATGCAGTGCCTGTTGGGAAGGAGGAACCAGGTTCAGAGCTGGAAAATGAATTCCTTTCCATTTCTGTAGATACTATCTCTTACAATTGCAACCAGTTTCTATTTGAATGCATGCTTCCAGAAAACAGAAAGAATACCGTGCGGTTAAAATGACCATTAACCAGTGATCATTACACATGGGCTTGAAGGTTAAGTCATGGAAAAGCTCTCTACTAATTCTCAAGCTGTTCATTTTCTGGCTGTCCTTGCTGTCACTATAACTAGAGTGAACTAGTTACACTAGTTAATATAAGACCTGAATTTTCAGGCCAAAAGACATACTGAGCAGTTGGTCTTTTCCACTGTGTTCTTCTGAATTCGTGATTGACATAGTAGGTCCTCCCGAGGATGTCTTGCCTTTCTTCCCAGCCTGAAGGCAGCGGAGGAGATTCCTGCTGCTGCTGCTGTGGCTGGCTAGCAGCATCTGGTTGGTCCAATATAATCCATCCAGGCTGGGAGATATAATATTAACTACATTAATATTACTAATAGACATATGGTAAGTCAGTACCAGATCAAACCCAAAAGCCTAACGTATGTGTTCTTTTTTTAGGCATACTGACAAACCCACTCCTTTAGTCAGAAAAAACACTCCAGAATTTTTGTGCAGTCTTACAACTTCCAAGATACAAGCAATCGCCTTCTGTTTAAAACACTATTTACAGTTTTGTGATTCCTAACATCCATTTTTACTATAACCATCCTTAACAGCTGAAGACATTTGCTAGATTTTTCAGCAACAAATATGTCTTTCCCACCTCTAATTCTTCTGCCTGTTCTGTGGTTTCTTCTTCAGACCCATTGCTTTTAGGTAAGTATGTCATTTTTAATCGAAGGTGGCCTTTAACTCTTGATTTATGGCTGCAGAAGAGAAAATAAAACATTCTAGTTGTGCACTTGTTAAATTGTTACCTGGAAATAAAAACAGCTGAAAAAGCACTGCTAAAGGATTCCTTTTAAGTCTTTCAACACAAACTTGGCTTTTTACAATTTAATGAAGATAAATAACGATATTGAGTTTTCAGACTTCTGAAAACCCTTAGATTTATGCACCACAACTAGAAACCTTTCTTTCCAACACACTCTTTGGAAAACTTCACTAGTAACCAATGAATAACAAGAACAAGAAAGTATGAATCATGACAATTTCATTCATATAATTATGATCATTTGACTGCATGCAGACAATCTATCAAGCATTATATAGGACTACTTTGCCTAGAATTTTAAGTTACAGCAAGCTGATACTTCAGCATCTGCCTCGCTGTGTTTATCTTAATGCCTCATTAGAAGCTTGAAAACAGGATTTCCCCATATTGATTTTATTTAGTTTTTGCACTTGGAAAAGAAACCTGCCGAATTATCTCATCCATTTGACTATAGGTATATTAAAAAAAACAAAAACCAAAAGACAAACACCCCTGTCCCAAAAAAAAGAAACCCACCAAAAAAGAATCCTGAAAATACTGAGTGAACCGGATGCCTGCACATGATCTTAATAAAGACCAAAAAGAAAAAAAAACAACAAAAAAAATACTAACAAAAAAAACCAAACCAATTCACATCACTAAGATCTCATGCTTTGGGTTTGGGGTTTTTGTTTGTTGCCATGCAAAAAAAGTGAATTAGATTTTCTGCTATCCATAAAAATATTCATGTTGATTTAGAAACACAGTGGTTTATAAACATGTTCATTCAGACTGCATTTTAGTTTCAGAAAGGCCCATATCTCTTTGACAGAATTAGCTTACTCTCTTTTTTTCCAATACAATAAAGTAAAGTACTGCATTTGAGGATTAACATACTAATAATTCTTACTCAGCTTGAGGTATTGGAAAGGTAGTAACCTTATTATTAATATTCATCAGTAAAAGCAAATATGGGCAAAACTGAAGAACATGCGTTAGCAACACTAAAGCGCCTAAAAGTTGTTACAATAAGATTTTCAGGCAGAAAAGTGCCCAAACCTGTGGCACTACAGAGCACTGCCCAATTCCCGTGGTAGCCACTACAAGAAGAGATCAGATTCTTGACTAACAAGCAACTGAAGTTAATTTATGTAGAGACAATAAATATTACTCTTGATTCATTTATAGGATAGGAAATGTAATATTCAGAAAAACAGGAGATCAGAATGAAACTTGACAGTCACTAATTCTGTTAAAACAATTGATCTGCTCAAAGTTAAGAACTGTAAAATACTTTTGCTACCAATGTGGCTGAGAAAGACCTATAGATCCCACATGTTCTGATGTTATTTCTAAATTGGAACCTATTATCTGAAAAAATAGACATGCATTTTATGTATTTTATTTCAATACAGATTTCTTATAACTGCTCAGATTTAGGTTAAAAATCTACATTTTAAAACCAAACCTGTAACAAGTAACACTAACAGAATTGGAAAAAAAAAATCTTTTTTTTTTTAAACACAGGTCTTAAATGTTAAGCAGCTTTTCAGTTTAAGTTTTTAAATATAAGTTCTGCTTATAATTAAGGTCAGATGAAACTGCTTACATGAAATGGGCAAACAAAAGAAACAGGAAGGCAGGAAACAATTTCAAGTTGAAGGGATAAAAGAGTTACAGGGTAATACTGGTGCCCAATTTCACTGTTCAGCAAAACAGTAAACTGGTTCAGATGAAGTTATAAAATGAATTATACCATGGCCTGAAGAAAAAATGGTTTATTCTTATGAAATTGTCTGTAAGTATTTAAACAAATTGTTGCGGTTTAAATCCAGCTGGTAGCTAAGTACCATGTAGCTACTCACTCACGGTCCCCCCTTCCTGAGTGGGATGGGAAGGAGAACCAAAGGAATGTAAAACCCACAGGCTGAGATAAGTACAGTTTAGTAAGTAAAGTATAATATATTACTACTACCATCATTAATAATAATGATAAGGGAAACAACAAGGGGAGAGAATATAAAACTAAAGGGTAAAGGGAAAAAAAACGCAACAATAAACACAAGTGATGCACAATACAATTGCTCACCGCTCGCTGACAGATACCCAGCCCGACCCGAGCAGTGATCTGGGCCTTCCGGGTAACTCTCTCCAGTGTCTATACTGGGCATGACGTGCTGTGGTATGGAATACCCCTTTGGCTAGTTTGGGTCAGGTGTCCTGTCTCTGTTTCCTCCAGGCTTCATGTGCCCCTCCTCACTGGCACAGCATGATATCCTAAAGTCCTTGATCAGAGTAAGCCTTACCTTATTAACAACTAAAACACCGGTGTGCTGTCAGCACTGTTCTCAGACTAAAGCCAAAACACAGCACTGCACCAGCTACTGGGAAGAAAATTAACTCTATCCCAGCCAAAAGCAGAACATAAATGTTGACTTTTTAGTAGAATCGCAAATACCTTACTCCATTGATCCTCAAATTTCTTCCATGAAAACATAAAAACATAGACAGTGTTTACCTATGTACAAGCAATTGCATAACGGCATTTTTTAGATATGAAACTTAGAATTATTATGGAGTATTTACTAACCTTCTTGGATGAAGAACAAAATCCTTAAATGTATATGGTCTCTCCATACTTGGATTTTCTGTCTGGAATAAGACAAGTTTTTTCAAGAAAAATCTGTACCCAACACTTGAAGTTAAAGAAAATGATCAGAAATTTACAGCGAGTTTCTTCACAGGCCAGATAACACTTTAAAACGTAAATTACAGCTTTAGGTACAGTAACAGCAATACCAGCTTTAATCTTAGTTATAAGACTAAATCCCCAGTTCATGAAAAAAAATTACCTTTCAGTGTATACATATATTACAGTTTCTAAAGCACAGGAAAAAACTGTTAAGCCTGACAACAAGAAACAGAGTCTCAATTTTCACATTTAAAATATCTGCCATAACTTCTCTTTCCTCCCTCAGTATTTTTCAAATATTTTTTACACAGAATGCATGTAAAAAAACATTTCTAGGACTTGGGGATAAAATTAATCACAGAAGAATCTATTCCGAGAACACCTCCGTTCCAATTCACAACAGTGAAGTTGCTTAACAGAAAAAAGCACAGAAGTAAACTGACATAAGTTTATAAATACACATTCCACAGACAGGTACAGAAACACACGAGGGATCATTAAAGAAAACAAAGATACTTCTTTTTCTGGTTGACAAAACTATTTCTAATCCATGTGAAGTTCTGCAGTTCTTACAAAACCATTTGATTTTTACAATACCATTTGTTTAGGAACATTTGTCAATCTCTTTCACGAGCCCTTTCCTCCCCTCCTTTTTCAGCTGTTTGCAGATTCTGGGGAGTAACTTTATGTGCTTGTTAATCAAGACATTTTAACCATTTCAAAAAGTACTGTAGAATACAAGGAAAGACTTGAGACTGCTTTGCTTGTAGGCCTTTTATTTAAGAACAATGGTCATGATGCAATCTTCAAAGACCAAAGTAACAGTATTTTCAAAAAATACCTAATTTATGTCACTATGTGATTAGAAAGAAGTAAAAAAAAACATAAAACCCAGAATCTAAAGGTTAGACATTATTAAGGGAGAGATTTTAGAATTTTATTTGGAACTGCTGAAATTTGTTATGAAAAGTCCTATGATTAAGCTGTCTAAATTTTACTGAATGTGATAACTGTTACATCAAATCTCAGAAACAAAATGCTCTCTTGCATTTCGGACATCTTGGTGTAAGCCCTTACGAATACAATTTAGAAATACTACACTCAAGTTGAAGTGTTCCACCCTCACTTACTTAAAATGCAGATTTTCAACCTGTAATGATGTGTGTGTTACACTGGTGTAATGCACAAGAACAGGTCCTACGCTTGCAATGTGAATTACCTCACAACTAAGGTAAATACTTCTTTGAAATTAAAACTGAATTAACATTGGGGTTTCGCTTTGTGGGTTTTGGGGCTTTCCACACCCCACTCCCCAGGATTACATTATTTCTACCAACATAAACACACAGACACTGTGGAAATACATCAGAGGTGAGCAAAAGATCATCTTACTCTAAGTTTTATAATTATTTCATGACTTTACAAATACAACAGCTGCTTTAGATTCAATGCTAGATTACACTTGGATTAATACATTTTTGGTTTGGAAAGAGCAGAATCATATCTGCCAACTATCTTACTTTGTAGATGATTTGCCCTTTATAAGTGTTCCCAAGTGTCAGTGCTTCTTGTTACTAAGAGTCTGTATTTACATCATATCAAGCAAAACCAAAACTGCTTATAGTAAAGAATTTATAAACTGATTTGTCCAAGATATATTTACTCATGTAAACAAAAGACTTTCAAAAAACTGCCACGTGTATTTGGGCCAGTAAAGTAGAATGGATTTAGATGGCAAGACCAAGTCGTTAAGGACAACGAGTAACCAGGAAGATGGAAAGAAAGAGGAGACAGGAAAAAGCCAGCGTTTGAGGAAAGGTGAGAAAATTGCCATGAAAACAATTCAATGAGGTTCTATAAATTAATTCATGCTAAGACAAAACAAACAAAAAGGAAATGCACCAATATCTCTAAGTCCAGATAGTGCTGTCCAGCTTATGAATGGGCACGGGAAACACAGTCAGCCCTCTAAAAAGGGACATTATAGCCAGTCTTTCCAACCCACCTGACTGAGGCAAAGGAGTTAGTGTGATCTCATATCCCAGTTACAATGGGAAACAAGATCTATCTGTAACTACTCCTGACACAGCTCCTACTGGAATGAAAGAACAACTGCCCTTGGAAAGGTTCTGCCATGGTTGTTATTCAGTCTCTAAAACAGTTGCTGATAAATCTGTTGGTATTTGCTAATGTTTTGAAACCTCAGAAGAAAATGAAAAGGTTTACTTATTTCAGTGCTCTTGGTGATATTTGCTTAAAACTAACAATGTGCTTTGAAAAAGGAATACAAAACCAAAACCTAAAACCATATATATATATATATATATATATATATTAAAAGAATGTACAAAGCAGCCCTAGCTCTATTTACCACTATTCCCCACTTACCCTTTCCTGTATCTGCTTATAAGGAATATTAAAAGTAAATGTATACTTTAACGTATTTTGAGAAATACAACAATTTCAGTCTCTTGTCTTCAAGACTGTTTCAAACCTTGCATTTTTATTCTTGAAAAAGCTCAAAGCACTCCTAACTCCTGTAAGCAGCAGAAACCAATATCTAATCACAAGGTAACCTATATCTTCTGATGAATATCAGCACTAAAAAAAAAACAAACCCTAACAAATTCACAAAAGAAAACCAAAACAGAAAACCCACAGAGCAGCAGAATTTAATCACTTGTATTATCAGTAAGGTTAACTTCCTTAGAAGACAAATACTGTTACATACAGAATCATTTTTCCCTTTCACAGTTGTAAAACAAAAACAAACAAAAAATACAAACCGGTAACTGATAAAGAGGAATATCCACTTGCCCAAGAAAATCATCTCGAGTCTACAGAAAATAAAAACAAACAAAAAAACACAGAAAGTTTAAAGTTGCAAAGTGTTTTAAAAACATTGTTCCAAAGCCCTGATAGCACAGTAATGCTTGCTGAGCACTTAAAGACACTCTTAAATTACAGACAATAAGACTTCTGCTGTACAGAAGAGTTCGGATTGACTCAACACTCAGAGACCTGGACAGTTCAGCCTTCATCAAAATAAATGAGGATTGAGAGAGCTGGGGGTAGAGATTTAGACAGAGATTTAAATCACACAGAATAATGCTAATCAAACAGGAGAGAGTTGTTCAGCATCAAGACCACAACTATCAGCATTCCCAGTAGAAACATTGCCCTGAAGGACCCTCCTCTTAGGAGCACCTGACAATTTCTGTAAGCCTAGGCACCTCTTTATACGGCATACATAAACTTTTCTTTTTCTTTTCAAAATAATACAGCTATATGGCTAAAAATGAGGGAAAGCAAAAATAAGTTTCATCTGTGATAAATGCTTTGGAAGTTCCAGAGCAATTCCAATGGTCCCAAAGCCCGGCAGCAGGAGCTTCAAGTCTGTCATTTTCTCTACCCCCCTGCCTGACATCCCTGTTGACATTTGAAAATGCACTAAAAAGCACTGCATCCATGAAAAAATACCACTTGCCTACACACATTGTGGAGTTCAGTTTTAACAACTAAAATCTGAAAGATTCTGCCCCGACTTGGATGCCTGGACTATCTGACTACAACCAGACTATGCCTCCAGCAACTTTGCAGCCTGATTCCCTCCAGCCTATGCTGCTGTACCAGGGGAGGGCCTGACAATACCTGGTTATCACTGTACAGTTCGCTTTTGATCACTGATTTTTGCCTGCTAAGGAAATTAAGATTTTAGTAATTCACGCAGGTAATTTCAGTATTTGCCAATAATCACTGCCAACAGCCCAAGTACTTCACTTGACTCCTTACTGCAGTACTGAAGCATATGTTGTTTCAAGTTCAGTTGTGATCTGAAAGGCTTTGCAACCCTTCACCAAAACAGGAAGACATATTACATGGGTCATTTAACATGAAGGCGTATCACTGCCTGTGTGCTAAGATCAAGAGGGCATGAAATTTTTAAAAGGTATGTATAAGCCTATGGCATTTTCAAAGTCTGCTCTGTATCAAGACAGTGTTTCTTTGCATTGGCAGAGTAAGAAACTGTAGAAGTCATCAACAGCGTGTATAGCCTGTGTACATCCTCTGGGTTTCTGATCTTCCTGATTTTTCCAGCTAACAGAAGAATTGGTGCCTGTTCTTTCCCAAGTCTGCTGGTGCACCACAAGCTTTTAATCAAACTCATCACCCAAGGATCCTGATGGCCTTCTTCCACAAAAACTTTCCACTATGAGGCTCTGCATCTCACTGACACCTATTCCCTTCACCTTAGGGCCTCTCACTTCTCTTCCAGTACAACTATGGTTTTAGTTTTCAGTGACAATGTTCTAAAGTATTAAAGCTCCAGTCCAAGCCTGCTCACTTTTTGTCCCATCGAAGCCATTCTCCATTCAAATAGCTCTGACATTAATGGCTACAAGTATTTCTTGAAGCAGTTCTTTCTCCTTTAATAATTCTGGTACCTTGTTCTTTAGCTGTGTTCTCTTACATTTGTCCATTTCATCTTTAAATTATACATGTATATGGAGAACCAGTGTCTCACATCTGTACAAAATTGTTATACCTCCAAAAAAGCATAACCAGTCTGCAGAGCTTGTCATAGATGATAAGGTGCTAGAAATCTAGAGACGCACCTTCAGACTGAATTTGTAGCGTGTACGTCTTACATTCAGATTTGAAGGGGGAGTGGAAATAAAGACAAAACACCCACGTTTTTACTTCACAAACTCATTTGAAATAGAAATCTACAACAGGTTTTCATACCTGAAGAGTCTGAAGCTTCCCTGAACTACTGAAGGAAAACTTTCTGTATTATTACAGACCACAAGCTTCTGGAAAAATATAGCTATCATTTTTGCCTATGAGGTTCTTTTTAAAATGGCACGGCACATACCTTAGACATGTTAAAAGGCTTAGTATTTGTAAAGTTCCTGGCAATCCTCAAGTGGAACATGCCTTTCAAATAAATTACTGGAATGTGGGACAAAAGTCTGCTGTATTTCAGAAAACCTCAGAACATTGTGTTTGTTACCAGCATTATTTTAGTACGGGCTCCGCTCCTGTTATTCACTTTATTATTCTGCTGCCTCTCCTGCTATTTTTAGCAGAGCTAGCCTCGATAACCAACCTTTAACAGTACTTTCTCCTCCAGCCAGAGAGTAAAATCCTCCAGTGGAGGATTTTTGTTGACCTCCAAACAACTAACACATAAATCAGATAGCAGGAATGCTCTTTAGCAATGTGCCTCACTGTGACAAGCTGATTAACTGCCTTCAAAGAAGTGCCAAAGAACCTCTGAAATAGACATCGCACACATTAACAATTAAATGCCAATGGAGCTGAAATTGTTTGGATCTCCATTTCATGAGAGCAGGCATCACAGTTTTTTCAAGACGGACAAGTGGGTCAGTTGTTCTCGTCAACTTCTAATTTCTTAACAGCCAGAGAACTCAAACTTTCTGCTTGCCAAACCGTAAGTGCATAAACCTTAATTAATGATAGAGTACACTAACAAAGAGGCCTTTTAGTTTTCTGATTCACTGGTTTAGTCTATATAAAGTTATTAAAAACATGTGAGGACAGACATCTACTGTATACAATTCATTTAAAGAACTGTAGTGCAATGCCAAAGTGAATGCTCAAAAAGGAAAAGCACCAAATATAATCCAGCCCAAAACTCATTTTCATCTATTTTAAGAATATATACTTAATATGCCTTAACAGTTAAGATTTTGGATTATTTTTCTGCAATTTCCATTAGAAACTGGATAGAAATAGATTTTAAACAGACATGCTTATCTGAGTCACACACTTAAGAGCAGTACTGAGCACATTACCTGCAATTCATCATTTATGTTTTAATCTGTAAATTTATCAATTTATGTTTTAAGACAGTTAACTGAATTTAATGCTTTTTTTAATTGCTGGATTCATCACAGTGCCTTCTGAAACAGCTCTTGTACAGGACCAGGGTGCTGAAATAAGAGATATTTTCTCTACCAACTTGTGTGACTGATTTTTGTTAGTATTAGTGCATGAATTAGAACCTAAGTATATTTCCAGTCTTTTTCTGGCTAAACAGGCAGCGTGTTGTGCCTAAGCCGGCCTTCACACAGAAATCTACAGCAGTATGGCCAAATGAGAAAGCGTACCGCTTTTACTGGAGGGAATATAAGTATCAATTCAAATTGAAAAAACAAACAGTGATCTGGACTATCGCTGCTTGAGAAAACAAGAGCTCAATAGACTCCTTATAAAACCAACATTCTTCTTGCTTAAACACCCAAACATCAACATTAGTTACAAGCTTGATGAGAACGAAAAAAAAACCCGAATAACTTTCCTAAGCTACACTAGCAACTTGAAGAATTTTTCTTCTCATGCTGTGCTGAGCATATTCTTTGGTTCTCTTGAACTCTAAATCAAGAAAAGTGAATTTTCTTCCATAAAATACTGCCAGCATGTGCTATTCATCACGGGAAAATAACAGTTTCAAAAATGCAAAATTCAATCATCATGCTAAGATCTTACCAAGTTCTCGGATTCCAAAAGTAATGTTTCTATCTTGCAAAGTGACATAGTTTGATGCGTGGAATTCATTACAGACTCATGTATTTTTAAGGGGGAGAGGCAGAAGGTGAGGAGAATATTTTTAATGGTATGTAGGCACTTCTTTTTAGTTGTCACCTATGGCCAACTGGGTACAATACTGAGACATCAGAACCTATCAGCATTGTCAAAATAGAGACAATACGTACTGTTAGATCAACAGCTATTATGCAACACGTGTTTCTGCAGGACCTTCAGCCCTGCCAGCTGCTTCAACAGCAAGGTGTCAGTGTAACATGCCTCAGCAGTTTCACCATCTGTTTAACAGACAGCATTTAGAACTGACACGCAAGTTCTTTTCTCTAATTCTTCCCTGCTTCAGATATTTTCAGATAACTGCTTCTCTAAAAAGACCAGAGCAAAAGTGTCACCTGTTTCTCCACTTACAGCTTACACTTTTTATATAGAACCAGAACCTTAGAAGTTCATATTTAGTCTACAGTAATTATTACTCCACTGAGTGTTTGCTACTTTGAAAGCTTGCACTATGCTTAGAAGTTTATTAACAAAGAAAGTTCAGATGGCTTGCTTTCCCTTTTTTTGCGTACAAGGATTCTCACATAGGTAACAGGAAGACAGGAAGTTGTCTAATATAACCAAGCAAACTTAAGCACAACATAAACAGAGAACAAGTCAAAAGTTAGTAATGAGTATATTTTATTCATCAGGAATTTGAGTTCCCTTTGTTTTATGGACATATGTGCCAAATAAGCTACCATATAAAAAAAGCAAGAATATCACATTTTATGAAGAGCCAATCCAGATTTGGCCTCCTGTGTTAAACCAACCAAACCTGGAAAAAGTACTAGAAAACAGTACCAAATATTTAATTTGGTAATTAAGTCTGACATCAAGTCAGTTAACTTCGTAGTAGCATGAACCAGAAAACTTCTGCATCAGTTTGCAGAAGCTTTTGTGCCACATCGGAAGACTCCAAATAAAGTTTGGAAACAAACTCATGCAGTACCAATTCCAGGTGCACTTTTACCTTCACCAGTTAACACTGTAAAGCTTAAAATAATCAAAAATATGTAAACCTCTATTGAACATTAAACCACATGTGTAATTTGCTCCCTAAAATAAACAGAGACACCAGATATGACAGACGTTAACCTCACTGGCTAATTAACACACCCAGCCAAAGGACTCATAACACAGACAGCTTTTTGTTATTCAGAGCAGGAGGGAACAAACAGAATATAAAAATAAAAAATAATTAAAAGGCAAGCCATTTGCCTCCACAATG